TGATAGCAGTGAGGGGGAGATGTACAAGTTTTGGGGTGGAGCAGAGGGGTAAAGAAAAGAGATTTTGGGAACGCAGGATAGTAATATGAACAGGAAGAGTGGAGGGGACATATTAAAGAGGTACACGGAGTGGGACTCAGACTTGTAAGAGATGTTTCCCAGGGTGTTTGCTTGCAGTCTGTCCAGGATGCAGTAGAGTTTTTTTTGTTGTTGTATCTTCCTGCTGCTTGAGTTATCCTGCTTTAGTTAAACTGCTGTGTTCAACTGCGTCTTAGCACTCCATCAAAAAACAGCACTTACGCAAAAGCAGCACCCCATCTGTGACTATGCCACCCCAAACTGTGACCACCCCCCATGAGCTGATCTAAATTTATAGGGAGATGGTCAAATGAGCGCTCTTCTCAGCCCCATTTAGGAACTGATAAGGATCACATGAATAGGGGGGTTGTTTCTCAAACACAGACCAGACACAGGCCACAGTCATAAAAAGAGTGCAGCAAGAGGTGAGAACTAATCAACATAGACAAAATATATATACACTATTTGTTCAGAAATTAACAGGAGTCCATGCGTTGCTGTAGTTTAGAGTGGAGAGCAGATAGCAGCATTTACACAGAGATAGCAGAAGTCTATGCGTTGTTGTAGTTTAGAGTGGAGCGCAGATAGCAGCATTTATCTGTGAAAAGCAGGGAAGGCATGATTAGACTGTTGTGTTCAACTGCGTCGTAGCACTCCATCAAAAACAGCACTCACACAAAAGCAGCACCCCATCTGTGACTATGCCCCCCTGATCTGTGACTATCTTCTGTCTAGGCATGACCATCTTATATTTGTAAACATTGTTTAACCACTTGCCCTCCAGAGGATTACCCCCCCCCCCTTCCTGACCAGGTGACCAGGCCATTTTTTGTGTTACGGTGCTGTGTTACTTTAACTGACAATTGCTTGGTCATCCAACGCTGCATCCAAAATAGAATTTATTTCTCCCATAAATAGAACTTTCTTTTGGTGGTATTTGATCGCCTGTGTGTTTTTTATTTTGTGCATTATAAACAAAAAATGACTGACAATTTTTTTGACTTTTAGCAACACAAACAATAGTTATTTTGACAATCCAATATGGGCTTGCTCAAAAAACCTCCTCCCATGTTGTGATTACTGCTTGAATGCTGGTCATCACTTTCCACAATTTCCTGGATTCCCTGCATGCTTTGCAGCTTCTACTCAGTTTCTTATGACCACATATCCTACGTTACCTTTCTGACGCAAGCAATCATTCCTTTACTCTTCCTCCAGAGATTAATACTCTCAGCATCTCTGTGGTTCAAAAGGCAGGCTCTTTGAGTTCTGTGATACAGCAGTGCCTACTGTAACTATATAGTGTAAGTTTACAAACTTCAAGGTCATTCATATTAACCACTTGCCCTCCTGAGGATTTACCCCACTTTTTAACCAGGCCATTTGTTGTGTTACGGCGCTGGCTTACTTTAACTGACAATTGCGCGGTCATGAAATGCTGCACCCAAATTAAATTTACGTCCTTATTTTCCCACAAATAGAGCTTTTTGAAAAAAAAACAAAACAATATTTTTTACTTTTTGTTATAAAATATATCCCTTAAAAAAATTTTAAAAATCTAATTTCATCATAAATTTAGGCCAAAATGTATTCTGCTACATGTATTTGCTAAAAAAAGAATCCCAGTACGCGTAAATGAATTGGTTTACGTGAAAGTTATAGTGGTATAGACACTGAAATTTTTTTTAATATACTAGTAATGGCGGTGATCAGCGACTTATACTGAGGGACTGTGGCGGACATTCTGACACTGGGGGAGCTGGCTAACTGCCACTGACATCCCCAATGACACTAATACAGTGATCAGTGCTATTAAAAAGCACTGACCCTTTACTAATGTCACTGGGCAGGAAGGGGTTAACATCTGAGGCGATCAAAGGGTTAACTGTGTGCTGTGTGCTGTTTTAGGGCCAGTTCACACTACAAGTGTTTTGCTTTTTTTCTGCATCCAAAATGCACTTACTTAGGTTATATGGTTGTCAATGTCATAGTTCACATCAGTGCTTGTAGTTCCAGTGCGTTTTGGTTGCAGAAAAAAAAGTAGAGCTTTTTTTCCTGCACGGAACTGTACTGGAATGCAGTAACACACATCAAAAATGCACCATAATGCACATGTCCTTATTTAAATTGAAGAAAAAGAGAGGGGAAAAAAATTAAGTAGAATGCATAAAAACGCACTGGAACACATCAAAAATGCACCAGAATGTGCCAAAAACGTGTCAAAAATGCTCATGCAAAAACGCATCTGGAACTGTGTCAGCACATTGCTTTGTATGGCTCTGCTATGCAGTGCCATACAAAGCAATGTGCAGGAGCTGACGGGAGAGATCTGTATTGGTGTCAGTGATACTCGGTGATCGCCGGACTCCGGCGGGGAGTCACCGTCTGGGACCCAGTGATCAACAGCTGAGGCCACCATTGGTGGCACAGGTAGGGCCTCCTACTCGGAAATACAAAATCACATGCATATATATATGTATCAGTCGTATCGTAGCAAAATTTTTGCTATAGGGCAGCCGGAAAGCGTTTCAAAAAAAATTTTTTAGAATTTGATATGATTACATTTTTTACAAGCTTTACACGCATTGTCCTTAAAAACATAGCATGACCAGTAACTATTGGAAAATGTAGTATTTTAATTTGCATGCAGAATTGACACTTTTAGTCACATGACTCATTAACAATGAGTGCCAATCTTATTAAGTAGTTTCAAAAGCTGTGCTGCTTTATTGTCCCATTTCTGCCTTAAAACTGCAATAGGGATGATCTAAGAAAAACAAACCACCTTTCATGCAGTTCAACTATTTTGCTGCTTGTTGCCTTGTGACTGGTTTAATTGTGGGCTGTAATAAAGGTCATAATTAATATCCCAACACAGACACTAATAAACAATTTGAAATTGCCAGCATAATCAAATGATGCAAACATCCGTGAGCTACAAAAGTTCATTGCCGCAACTGACAATTTCTTAATTGTATTCAGTCACTCATGGAAATTTTATTAACATCGAACTGATGTATCCTGCCCTTACTCTGTCACAACACCAGGGATCTAATTTCATTATTTTCCACAAGATTTGCTTGACTACTGCCATGATTCTATGATTGCGTTAGTCCAGATGTTTATGCTATTTAAATTAGAAAGAAAAGACTTTTGGGTAAACACAATTATATAAGTTTTTTTTTTTCTTTTAAAGATTTCGTTTAACAAACTTCTAATTAATTTAGAATTATATTTTTCTCTTACTAATTTGAAACTCACAGAATTCACCATTTAAAACGTTCATTGCTAAATTATTTAGCAATACAATTCTTTCATTTAAAATGTGTTTTTTAAAACATTACTAGACAATATTTAAAGTTATCCACTCCTTAAATATTCCTTAGTTAAATTAACATTTTATGGCGACAGTAGTATATCAACATTCTGTTTTTTTGTAGTTTGAAATTTGAAGTGTAAAGGTTTTACTGATTTATAATTATGCCTGATTTTAATAACATGCTTTTGTGCTTGTCAATGCTTGTCACTATAGAGCCACTTGAACAATGTGTGACTAGTGTGTTAGACATGATGCATAGGGTAAAAATAATTGCTTTGTAAAGGTACAACACACATAATCACAGAGACATGCAGAAATGTGTGGGTTTCTTTTATTACTACATTATTTGTTTACATATACAATTCTATTAAACTAAACATAAATAAATGCAAAATCGGTTACATTTAAAGTGAATCTATGCTCAAAATTTAGGCTCCATGCACACTAGGATTTTATTTGAAGCTAAAAAAATGCTGGAAAAAAACTGCTGGTATTAGCATTTTTAATAGTGTTTTAGTGGCTTTTAGAAGCATTTAGGAGTGCTGGCGTTTTATTGGCTTTTTTCAGTGAGGTTTCATGCACACTAGCATTTTTTTTAGCTCAAAAAATGCTGGATAAAAATCGTTGATAATAGTGCTTTTTAGTAGCTTTTTGATAGCGTTTTAGTGGCGTTAGCATTTAGGAGTGTTTAGTAGTAGGAGATTTAGCGTTTTATTAGCGTATTTACAGTACATGAAGAAAATAACTTGAAAAAAGCTGTTAGTAGTATTTTAGGAGCATTTAGTATTTTTTTCTGGTGGAAAAAACGCTACAAAAACAATTTTTTTCTGCTCCAAGCTGAAGCTCAAAAAATGCTAATAGCCTAAAGTAGTGTACATGGACACATAGGATAACACTATTTAGCTTCTAGGAACAGAAAACAAAATGCTAATAACAGCTCCTAGGAGCTTAAAAAAATGCTAGTGTGCATGGAGCCTCAATGTAAGAACAAAAAGCTACAAAAAAACTGTTAGGAGCATTTTAGTATCATTTAGTAGCATTTAGGAGCATTTAGAATCATTCACATATTTTTTTTGTCTGCTGGAAAAAGACTCCCAAAAACTCAAATCCAATTTTTTTCTGCTCCTAAACGCTGAAGCTTGAAAAACTCTACTAGCCTTAAATTTTGTGCATGAACATGTAGGATAACACTATTTAGCTTCTAAGAGAGGGAAAATAATGCTGATAACAGCTTCTAGGAGCTTAAAAAATGCTATTGTGCATGGAGCCTAAAGATAATATATTTATTTCTACATTTTATTTCAATTTCTGGCCTCATCATTTTAACCGCTTCCCATCCACCCTATAGCAGAAGTACTGCTACAGGGTGGCAAGGGTGCACAAAATCACGTATATATACGCAATTGCGCATTTCCATGTAGGTGGTACATGCGCACCCTACCCGCACCGCAATTCGCGGCCACAGCTGTCTATCACCAGGTCTCGGCTGCTGGGTACTCACCGGCGCCCAGTGATTGCTGAGCATCTCCGACGGGGGGGGGACTGTTTGTAAACAACACAGTTCTCTCCCGTCAGCTCCTGCACACTGCTTTTCATCCCCTAGTAAAAAAAGAACACTGTTAGCCATATGATCGTCCCACATGTTAACCCCTTCCTGCCCAGTGCCATTAGTACAGTGACAGTGCTTTTCATTAGCACTGATCACTGTAGCGGTGTCACTGAGGATGTCAGTGACACCAAGTCAGTTCCCCCCAGTGTCAGAATGCCCGCCGCAGTCCCGCTATAAGTCTCTGATTGCCACTATTACTAGTAAAAATAAGAAAAAATTAAAAATCCCAGTATATATATCGCCATTTGTAAATGCTATAACTTTCATGTAAACCAATTCATTTACACGTATTGGGATTTATTTTAGCACAGACAGCAGAATACATTTTGGCCTGAATGTATGATGAAATTTGATTTTTTAAATGTTTTTTACTGGATGTGATTAACAGCAAAAAGTAAAAAATACAGGTTTTTTCTCAAAATTGTCTTTTTTTTTATAGCGCAAAAATTTTAAAACACACAGACAATCAGAGACCACCAAAAGAAAGCTCAATTCATGGGAAAAAAGGACATAAATTTCATTTGGGTGCAGCATTGCATGACCGCGCAATTGTCAGTTAAAGTAACGCAGCGACGTAACACAAAAAATGGCCTGGTAAGGAAGGGGGGTAAATCCTCTGGAGGGCAAGTGGGTAATATGAATGACCTTGAAGGTTGTAAATTACACTATATAGTTACAGTAGGCACTGCTGTATCACAGAACCCTAAGAGCCTGCCTTCTGAACCACAGAGATGCTGAGAGTATTAGTCTCAGGAGGAAGAGCACAGGAATGATTGCCTGCATCAGAAAGGTAACATGGGATATGTGGTCAGCATGCAGGGAATCCAGGAAATTGTGGAAAGTTATGACCAGTATTCAAGCAGCAATCACAACATGGGAGGTTTTTTGAGAAAGTCAATTTTGGATTATCAAAAACAACTATTGTTTGTATGGCTATAACAATGCTGATGTTATAAAATGAAAACGTATGCTGTGACCACAGAACTCCATTAGGGCTAGTTCACACTAGATGCAATCCAGTGCTTTTTTTTCAGCATCAAAAATGCATGCACAGTGTTTTCCATGTATTCCAATGGACCTAGCAGGGTCGTACTGACCATTTGGAAACTCGGGCACTGCCCGAGGGCCTGGGGTCAATAGGGGGCCCCATGAGATGCCCCTGGTACCTTTTTCATAGGCTTTTTTGAGTTTGGGCAAGGACACAGGGGCCCCATGATCCCCTATTGCCCGGGGACCCCATGAGTTGTCAGTCCGCCCTTGATGGGGTAATATGTTGTGTTTGTATGTACTAAAATTCATGTTATGGTATTTAATTTATTTATTGCTAGTCAGTTGGTATATATATATATATGTGTGTGTGTGTGTGTGTGTGTGATTTTGCATTTCCGGGTAGGGGGCGCAACTATGTTAAAAGTCAAAAATATTGGGGGTTTTTATAGCGAAAAAATTAAAGAATGCACAGGTGATCAAATACCACTGAAAGAAAGCTCAATTCATGGGAAAAAAGGACATATATTTAATTTGGGTGCAGCATTGCATGACCGCACAATTGTCAGTTAAAGTAACGCAGCGCTGTAACACAAAAAAATGGCCTGGTCAGGAAGGGGGAAAATCCTCTGGAGGGCAAGTGGTTAATATGAATGACCTTGAAGTTTGTAAACTTACACCAAACAGTTATATATATACACGTGATTTTGCATTTCTGGGTAGGGGGGTGGCTGTCAATCACTGGGCCCCTGAACAGTAATTACTCACCAGCGCCCGGTCGATTTTCAAGGATCTCCGACGGGGAGGAGTACTGTTTTGTTTGCTAACAGTCCTCCTCCCTGTCAGCTCAGCCATCCACAGTAGTGTGATTACAGTGAATCACATACATCCCGCCCCCTAGTGAAACACTCCCAGCACACAGTTAACCCTTTGATCACCCCTCATGTTAATCCCTTCCTGCCCAGTGCCATTAGTACAGTGTCAGTGCTTTTCTTTTAGCACTGATCACTGTATTGGTGTCACTGGGGATGTCAGTGACAGCAAGTCAGTTCCCCCCATTGTCAGAATGCCTGTCGCAGTCCCGCTATAAGTCACTGATTGCCGCCATTACTAGTAAAAATTTCAGTATCTATACCAGCATTTGTAAACGCTAAAACTTTCATGTAAACCAATTAATTTATACCATAAACATAGTGCAGCGCTATGAGTAGTGATAGTAAAACAGATATGAGTCCACTTAAAGTCTTAGTCAATAGAACGTGTCCAGTGACAAGTGAGGATTCAAAGTTGGTGATCCGTGTGGAAACGGCTGAAAAACGCACTCACCAGAACAAAGACACATAAACGCAGTGTGCATCTAGTGCTCATGGATCCTCAATCCAGAAGGAAATAAAGCTAGTCCGGTTACAGGAAAAGTGGATCCCTCCTCTATGGATGCAGCAACAGATCCTCTTCTTCCCAGTTAGGTGTAGGATTCCAAGATCAGGGTTCTGCAAGCAAAAAGCTCCTCAAGGGAGTTTAGGGAAGAACACCCATAGTGTAGTAGATTACAAAAAAGCAGCTTTATTAGAGTAAAAGTAGCATCCAATTCAAAGTAGGCAGGTATCATCAAGATGTGTCAGCAAGACAAACTAACCCTGACACTCTGAATGATGGCCGCTGGGCCTCCACGTGGCTCCGGCGGCGTAGCGTCTCGACGTCCAGGCTCCTGGAAAAAAAAAAACAAGACTCGTGGAGGAGTTTTTTAGCTGTAAAAATGCTCTAATGCTGACAACCGATGTTTTGGGTCATTTCTTTTGCTAAAAAAAAAATTTTTTTTTTGGTAAAAAAAACCGCTACAAAACGCAAACGTGGAAAAATGTGGGAAAATGACACTAAACGCTAATGCAAAAACGCAAAAAAAATCTGAAAAATTCACGTTTTTAACATGAGTTTACACAGCTAACATTACCAGCTTTATGAAAACGTCCAGTGTGCAGCATGAGAACTAATTGTGAAGGGGGCTGGCACATAACAAGCCTCCTAATATTGGTCAACGTAACCCTGCTGACCACAGTCAGGCAATGCTTGAAAAAAAATCAGTTTGGTGAATTTCCACATTAATATGTTGTGACCACGGAGTTTGAACCTAGTGGATCCACCGTTAACTATGGTGATGAACCCGAAACCTCATCCTAAATAGTTAAAAACTACCAGCATCCAGCAGAGGATCAGCATTTAAAAAATATAGACTTGAGAGTATTTTTTACAATGTGCAATCTTTGCTCATATTACTATATTGCTTTACTGAGGCATGATAATATTTCTTTTTAATTTTTCAGTAAAACAGAGTCATATGCAGTATACGACCAGCAATTTGACTAGCAGGTTTTATTTGTTAGACTGTCTGGAAGACTCATATCGATGCCACTCATGATATCTATTCAGCCTTATGTCTCTAAGACAGATATACTCTAGATAAATAAAAATACCGTTAGAGGAAATAAAATAAAAATACTGTATACAAACTAAAAGAATGTGTGTTTGTTGCAATAACAATAAAAAGAACAACACATTTCATTTATGAATTATTTTCAGAACATTCAGGATACAGCAAAATCAGACACATGCCCAATTAGAAAAGAAGTCTATATTGAATTTCATGTTTTATAAAGAAAAGGTGATAAATTACACTAAATAAAATCCTTCCATTCAGCCCAAGTTCACACTAATGCGGTGCGGGGAATGCAGTGAATCCTGTGCGTTTCTCGCACCGCATTGCAATCACATAGCATCCATGCAATCTGGTACGGGTGTCAATGTTAAATTAATGACACCCCAAAACAGATTGCAAAACATAGTGCGATTACCAGAATTTGCAACTCATGGGTGTGAACACCCAAGCGATGCGAATCAGGTGCACGAAAAGAAAGGGTCCTGCACCTTTTTGGCGCAGAGGCAATGCGATTTGAGCCATACAAAATGTATGGCTCAAATCTCAGCGCACAGACATTGCATGTGATGTGCACAGGAATGCGGTTCCTGTGCAAATCACATGCGATGTACCGCATCTCATTAGTGTGAACACGGGCTGAAAGTGCATACAGAGAGATTAAATGCTTGTTCAGCAAAGCACTGAAAAAAAAACATGGCAAGTAAAGTTTAGTGACCTGTAGCAACCAATCATTATTATTATTATTTATTATTATACAAGGTTTATGTAGCAAAAATAAAACAAAAAAAGGAAAGCACTATCAAGTTAAATGTACAAATTAAATAGTGATAAAATTAAACAGTGAAAAACTTATTTTATGTGACCAAAAATTGTTTTTAAGAATTTTCTCTTTCCATCAACAGTGAACAATGTCCATCACCACAAGAACAGATTTGTGCAAATCCACCACCAGCAGAAATGAAAAAACTCACCAGAGCAAATTGCCAGTTCAATTATAAACCAGCAATTGCACTTTTTTGTTCTGGGAGCAATACTCTGCAGGCAGACTCAGCGGTGACCAGCTTTTCAACTTATTCCTCTCTCAGCTTGTTGATGTAATATTCTGCAGGTCAGGGAGACCCAGATATCCAGACACTTATTTATCCTCTTTGGGAGCAATACTCTGCAGATCTGTAAACTCAGCAGCGAAATATAGCGCCAACCGTTTACTCAGCGCTTTACAATATAACGGGAGACAATACAGCGACAATACAGTTCAATACAAGAGGGTTAGGAGGGCCCTGCTCCTTGGAGCTTACAATCTAGGAGGGAGGGGCTAGTGGTACAAAAGGTAGTAACTCTGGGGGATGGATTGGTAGGAGGAATAGAAGATTCCATTATTAGCTGAGGGCAGGAAAGGCTTCCCTGAAGAGATAGGTTTTCAGAGATCGCCTAAAAGTGAGCAGAGTAGGCGATAGTCTGATAAATTGGGGTAGAGAGTTTCAGAGGATGGGGGAAGCTCTGGAGACGAGCATGGGAGGAGGTGACAAGGGAGCTGGAGAGAAGGAGGTCGTGCGAGGAGCGGAGAGTACGATTTGGGTGATATTTGGAGACAAGATTGGTGATGTAATTTGGGGCAGAATTATAAATGACTTTATGTGTTATATAACTAAAAAATGTTGCGCTCCCAATCTCTAACAAACTTATAAATTAGGGACTTCAGATTATATATCCATGAAAAACAAACAATACACCATACATAAATAAATAAATATCAAGATAAATGTGATGTGAATCAATAACCAATTGT